TTGGCTGGTGTGGAAGAAGACCTCAGCTGGTCTTGGTAACCTCAGCAGGCTCCTCAAAGAATCAAGTTGCAGGCATTCAAAGGACAAATAAGGCTAGAGCTGGAAATAAGTCTCCCTTCTGTCAAGTAGAGTGAAGGCACAGTAAACCGTGTACTAGGGTATGGAGCATGCCTTACCCAGACACAAAAAGGGGTAGGCATGGACCCCAGACTCTGCTATAACAAGAACACAAGAGATGTACCCCTTGAAACATTTACTGGTGGGCCATAGATTAGGCCCAGTGAGGAGGATGAAGCTACTGTAAGCTATTTACTTAAAAGAAAAAAAAAAACAAAAAAAAAAACCTCACTTATTTTAAGTAAGATCTACGTAAAAGGTTGGTTCTGTCCTCTCACTGCAGTGGAAAAAGAACAGATAGTTCTGAAGGAGGTGGAAGAAGCATTCATTTATATAAAGTACAGTGACATCAACCCTCATGATAATTCTTGTACACTCTGTATTCCAGTGGAGTTCTACAACTCAATGCTATGGATATCATTTCCCCCAAGTGAAAACACAACATGCCCTCAAGAGAGGGCCATGCATTTCCTCTCTTCCAGCATATTTTAGCAAGCTTCAGTTGCTGTACAAGTCCATAAACAGACATAATATTTGTCATGCTCCCAAGTACCTTTAAAGTTCCCCAAAAAGGGAGGGGAGATGTCATTTCAATTGTTTCAAATTTGCCTGTTCTGCCTCCAAAATGAACTTGGATGAAACAGGAACAAGGCTGAAGCACTTCATGTCACGTTTACACTCTTATTAAGAGTTCCTGTGAACCAGAAGAGGAGCTCCACATCATTTCCTAGATCAAGCTGAAGTCCTGAAGCAGACTTACTTCTTACATTTCTGCTTCTCCTTCTCTTTGCGCTTCTAGTGCTGAGGCAGGGGCAAAGTTGAACTCGCATTCATGCCAGGGGGAATGAAAAGTAGAATTCTGGGCAATGTCACAAAGGGATGGTGGATTACAATAAAGTATGAGCCTCTCTGCTTCCTTGCTCTCAACACTGCTTACTATATGCCCGTAACTATATTTACACAGCACATACGGGCAGCCTCTGAGGGCCTACTGAGGCCCAAAGATGGCCCTGGCAAACTGCCATGCCACCTGACACCATACGGCACAGGCAGCATCTCATCATCACATTCACTGACCCTACTCCTGGCACTAGTTAAACTATGTACTTTTTAAAAAAATGTGTCTCCTAACATACCAAGGAAAATGGATGAACCTGTTGTGTGCATTTATATTTAGGTCATTTTTCCCATGCACTGACAAACAGTGATTGGAAGACAAGAAGCAGCAAAAAAGTAGCAGTCCACTGCAATCCCTACTCAGTGGGCACATCTACACATGCAAATGATCTGGGAGCAGTTTACTCTCAAGTAAACTACTCAAAAGTAAACTCTCCTAGGCAAGCATCAACACAATGCAGGAACGTGGGAGCAGATTCTTTGCTCTAAACAGCAGACTGCTCCCACTCTCTGCAGTCCTGTAACCAGCCCCTGCAGCAGCTGGGGGAGCTCTAGGCTCCCTCTGGGTGCTAGGCCAGAAGACAGCCATCTCCTGGCAGGGGCTGGGACATTACTTCCTGCCCCCGGGAGCTGCCTGCTGCTAGGGTGGGCTCTTCCACCAAAGCCCAGGCAGGTACAATGTCCCTGTGCCCCAGCAGCAGGGAGCTCCCAGCCCCCGCTCCACAATTGTGGGGCCAGGGCTGGGAGATCCTTAGTTCCCAGCCCAAGCCCCACAGTCTGGGGACCCAGGCTGGGAAAGAAGGGTCTCCCAGCTTGGGTCCCAGGACTGCAAGGCTTGGGATGGGAAATATGGATCAGGACTAGAAGGATTTCCTAACCTGGGTCTCATGACCACTGGGCTTGGACTAGGAGAGAAGGATCTCCCAGCCGTGGGGTTTGGGCTGGGAAAGAAGGACCGATCTCCCAGCCCAGGTCCTGCGACTGCGGGCCTCAGGCTGAGAGACAAGGATCTTCCAGCACTGTCTCTTTGATGGCAGAGTGGGGGCTGGGAGCTCCCAGCTGCCAGGGTTAGGGGACATCGTCCCCACCCAGACTCCAGTAGTGGAGCCCGCCCCGGCAACAGGTAGCTCCTGGGGGGAAGAGAGCAATCTTCCGCCCCCTGCTGCCCAGCTGCCCAGGAACACACATGCCCCCAAATCAGGCATCTACATGTGTGCTACTGACCAGTTACTAATCACAAGTAAATTTGCTACTTGCATTTGCAGTAAACGTCTATACACGTAGACACAAATGCTTACTGTGCAGTAATTGGTTCTACTGTGCAGTAAAGCATCTTGTGCAGATGCGCCCAGTAACATTTTATTTTAAGTAAGTTTATACATGCTTCTTGCTTATACTTTTTCTGCTCAAAAACACAGGGAAAAAAATAAAAAAGTTACTCAGAATATACATTGCTTCAAAATATTAAGAGCTCTAGACTTTTCCTTTTCTGAAGAAAATTGGCATGGCATAGATCTCCCCTATTTTCCCATTCCCAAATTATACCTTCAATATACTACCAAACATGTCAAGCTGATAGTGGGTAGGAGTGAAAGTGTAAAAAGAGAGCAAAGGAATGGAATCCAAAGCTAACAATGCAGGAAATAAAGACTGCCTACTGTAACTGGAGACCAGTACTGGAACAGCTTAGTTCACACTAGGACTTAAGGAAAGCAAACAATTAATCTCTACTAAATAAAATTAAAAAAAAAAATTAAAAAAAATCAAAAAAAAAAATCAAGTGAACCATATGCAATACCTAACAATCTGCAATATAATGTCCACAGCATGTAAGTAACAGTCATGAGGATGCTCAATACAGTGCCAGAAATAATATTTCCAACATTTTTATATATACACAGATGAAGTAATTACAAGCATGGCAACAAAAAGGGGCTACATAATTTACAGCAGAGCTGAAAATCTGAAATACAGCTCCAAAAAAAACATTTTCCAGAGCCTGGAAGTTAGCAACATTAAAGAAATAAGTATGTGTCTTTGAGGAATGTATATTTTGCCTTTGATATGCTTCTCAAACTTCTATGGATGTTCAAGGAAGCTCCACATGCACAGCAGCATCATGCCAGAATGAATAGTGACACTGACTGTGACCTAGACAAGATCTGAAAGAAAAAACTATGCTGATGGAAAATGGTGTCTCTGGATTTCTGTTCAGGAAGCTGGTGTTTGTAAATATATTATTTGTAGCCCATAAAGAAGTTGCAGATGTCTTTTGGACTTAAATTTTATAAACCTTAAGTTTTTCAGTTTTATTTATTTAACTGAGGAAAAATAAAAATATGGTATAACGTTCCAGTGGTGTCCTTACATTGCTATAAAATGTCACAAAAGCTCAAAAAAAACTACTGAGTTATCCACACCGTGTCTCATTAAAAATTAATGGTAAATCTACATAAATGTAAGTGGGAGCAATTTTTAACAAACATAATACAAAATAAAACTACATCTCAACTTCCTTACTAGAGTGAATCCTCTTCCAATATTTAAACCTTGCTACAGATTGGAAGCGTCAGAGAACATTTACATTTAACACTTCCATTGTTACCACTTTTGCAGCAAGTAAGGAATCCTAAATGTCCTGTATGGGATAATTCCATGGTACTTCATTTTCTGAGTGTCTTATTACCTCTAACCTACATATTATAATGATTACCTCTTGCTCTCAGGCTTAGACTTATCGGGCTAGATCTTCAGGTGGCTCAATTAGCAAAGCTTCTTTAGTATCTATAGCACTATACCACTTTACCTTGACTGGTCCATTATTAAACCACTATTTTGTTTCCAAATGCTTTTAGTAGTCACTCATCAGATCACAGCTTTAAAAGCTTAAAATTTATCTCCAGTCTATGAATCATCATATTGACGAAACTCACCTATCAATAAAGTGTGTTCTGCCTCCTGTTGAGATATATATATATATAAACACATTAATCATTTACATAAGTTAAATATACCGCTTACAGTATAATTAATTAATTAGAATATGGTTTAATGCAACATCATTTGCATATTAATGCAAAGGCTGCATAACCTCTGAGGACAACAGCAAAAAAAACAAACAAGAATGAGACTACACAGCTAAAAGAAACAACATGGCCTTCCCACAGAAAATCTATATTTTTGTATATGTTGTTTCTTAGGGTACTGTCATTCTTGCTCCTTTCTATAAGTGTTTGTTTTCCTTCCTTCTCTACTGTTTGCAATATGCTCAAAAAACATTGTGGCAGACTATTCAATTAACTTTGCTGTGAAGCTTTGGAGAGCCATAGCCTACCACATTTCTGACCTTATGACTAGCTTGCCCTTTTTTGGGAGGCGACTGGCTTCTTCAGAGGAGCAATACAAACCACGCCCCCCATGCACACCCACCTGCGGGGACAAGACCCACACATGGAGGTGTTCTTAGACAACCAGTCACACAAATTCAAAAAATTACCAAGAACCTACATCTCCATTACAGAACAATGGCAAATCTCACAGCAACTTCAATGGGAGCAATTTCTTGCCTGCATACAGCACAGCAGTACTGTACGCAAGAATAATTTAACATTATTTTGTTCAGCAGAAAAACACAACAGAACCTTTATCTTGGTCAAAAGGTATCAAACGGCAAAAATAGATACTTGCACATAATAATCATCTTCCTTTAATATTTTCATTATGGTAAATAATATGCTCAAAACATTCTAGCAGGATTTGGGTCTCGTTTTGCCATGAGCTGCACAATGGAAGTCTATAGTTCCTACTTGAGAGGACTTGTAACAAAGCTGAGAAGCAGCGCAAAGAATTGGAAAATGGGAATACAGTATAAATAAATATCGACTTTCCCTAACTGTTAAGCTAAGGGACATTTAAGATGTAATGAAAGTCACTGTAAAGTTATCCAATTAATTCAGTGGATCCTACTATCGGAAGTTACTTCTTACCTTGAATAAATTCCGCTAACCATGTCAGGCTGGGAAGAAAGTTCCACTTTGCTGCTGGGCCCAGCTGCTTTGGAAATGAGCAGTACAACCAACCCTCGCATCTGTAGGTTATTCTGGTTATCATACACAAACTCCCTGCCAAAAGGAAAGGAAAAAAAAAAATCACAATCCATTCGCAATGCTCACAAAAACAAAGCAAAAAAAAAAAACACAAACAAACAAACAAACCAGGAAAGAGACTCAACCCCCAGCTTGACATTATTTCGTCTTAAATCTCTAGGATCCATATCAATGGGTGAAGGAAACTGCAGTTATCAATCAAGATCTTTTGTCACCTTTCCCCCATAATTTATGGTGAAATCTTACTACTACAGATAAGAATAAGATTTCAATCTGGAATACCCATTTTTATTTCCTAGGAGCAGTCTACACCCAACATGTCTGTCAAGATGTCAGCAATGGAATATTTCAACATAATTCAGGGTTATACAGTATAAACAGTAGCAACATGACATTTTAGCGAGCACCAAAAACAGAGGAAACCATAGAAATTTAAGGTGGGTGCAACTCAAGTCTAGAATATACTAAAAATGAAGCGTTTCAATCAGATGAAGTATATCAGAACGTACAGGAATTACAGAAGGTACATGCAGTATATGAAAACACTTTTAAAAAGCTGAAAAAGAATAGACAAGAAGTTACCATTTACTTGAATCCAAGAAAATTTTGAATTTAAGATGACCACCAATAATTAGACTCTATACATGGAAACTTATAAATCTGTTATAATTTTCCATGTATACAATCTAATAGTGGAAATGTTGTCTTAAATTTGTTTCCCCACTGTTGTAGCAAGGAAAGCAGTTGCAGGGAGCAAGGGGCAAGACCCCCATACCTTGCTTCTCTGTTTCTTGCACCCACAAGCTTTATGAGCACTCGTGGTCCTCTGGAGAGGTGCCGGAGGACTGGAAGAGGGCCAACGTGGTTCCCATCTTCAAAAAGGGGAGGAAGGAGGACCCGGGAAACTATAGGCCAGTCAGTCTTACCTCGATCCTGGGCAAGCTGTTCGAGAAAATTATTCTGGCACACATCCAGGAGGGGCCAGCAGGGAAATGCATGCTCAGAGGCAACCAGCACGGGTTCATCAGCGGCAGGTCATGTCAGACCAACCTGGTGGCCTTCTACGATCAGGTCACCAAATCATTGGATGCAGGGGTAGCAGTGGATATAGTCTTCCTGGACTTCCGGAAGGCTTTCGACACTGTCTCTCACCCCGTTCTCATTAGGAAACTGGGGGACTGTGGCGTAGACACCCACACAGTCCAATGGGTCGCCAACTGGCTAGAGAGCCGCACCCAGAGGGTGGTAGTGGATGGGTCCTTCTCGGCCTGGAAGGACGTGGGCAGTGGGGTCCCGCAGGGCTCGGTCCTTGGGCCCGCCCTGTTCAACGTCTTCATCAGTGATTTGGATGAGGGGGTGCAAAGCACCCTGTTCAAATTTGCTGATGATACCAAGATGTGGGGGGATGTGGGCACAATAGAAGGGAGCAACAGGCTACAGTC